TTCTTTTTTTATTATATATATATATATATATATATATATATATAGAGAGAGAGAGAGAGAGATTTGAACTTCTTGCAACATCTAAAATATGAATTGGTCACCAACATGGCTGAATTCACACTAGTTTCCAGGCTATGAGAGAGGAAAGCCCATATCCCCTATCTAAAATCCTATGTGTAACATGGAAGTGGCTGCACATATTGTGCAAGTCAACATCTGATTTCTCAGCTTTATAAAGAAGTTTTCTCCACAGTTGTTATAAGACATAGAAATTTCCCAGGAAGGCTCAATGAAGCACCAAGTGTACTTGTCTTTGTTGTGATGCTTTCTGCTCAATAGTGCTAACAAATACTCACCAAGTCCGTTGCAGGAGTTAGTCTGGTACATGAAAGACGAGACAGCAGTAGCAACAGTAGCACTGGCATGGCTCAAGAGAATATAGACAAATCAATGATTTTATCTCTGTTTTAGAACCATCAGTATCTAATATTCGTGTGTTTTTTTATTTCACCAACCATGGTATGCCAACATGAACACTTCTACTATTTTGTGCAAGAGGAACACAGTCCAGCCAACCATTACACTCCACATCTTCATTGCCAAACAGTATTAAGAGGCGAGTTCTTTTGGAAGTAAAATGTGTTTTTTTTTTCGTTTAACAGATTGAGCTCTTTATAAGAGTAAATATATTTTTTTTATTTTAACATGAATACTGGAAACCCCTCTGACACCCCTCTGTGGTCCACCCAATCCCCCAAATTCAGCCTCATTCAAAAATTTGAAAATTATACAATCAGCAATTTTGAAATAAGTGTAATTACAAAAATGAATTAGAATTTTATGTAATAACTCTAAAGCAAGAAACATGTTTTTGTATTAACAGTGTTACCTTTATCAAATTATTACTTGAGCAATACTTAAACATCATTTAAAAATATTTCAAATAAAGTATAACCCAATGGTGAAAATGCTGAGAACAAACTTAAGATTATTAAATAAATACTGAATAATTTTCAAACAGATATTTCAAGAATTGTTAATTCAACAGTCACTATTAATTTAACTGGAAAATTTCTTTGTTTGTTTAAAAGCAAAGCCACAACGGGCTATCTGCTGTGTCCACTGAGAGTAATTGAACCCCTGATCTTATCATTGTAAATCTGTAAATTAACTGCTGTCTCACCTGCAGACCTTAAACGTTTCTAAGAGCTATAATTTATTAATTTATTTTCTAAATGTATATACACACACACACATATTAAACAAACTACATTTTTGTGATAAAATTCAATTTAAGTGAGAAGAAAGTTAAAAAAAAACATTTTTTGCAGTTAATGTGATTTTTATCACAAATCTTAGGCTAATTAGTTTCTAATGCTTTGGCAGCTTTCAGCATTTGAACTGTAGCTTTTAAAACTACATTCTTGTTAATAATGTATATATATATATATATATATATATATATATA